TTAGTATAAGGTATTTATTACTTGTCATAGAGATCACAGTTCTCCCCTGACAATGACTTCATCTGCTTTTCTCGCCAGAAGGACGGAGCCGTTTTTTGTTCCGGGATTATTTCCTGGACAGATATGTTGTAGTTCTTTATTAGGGTGTAGCACTGTTAGAATCCCACCAAATATTCATTCATTTTACACTCTAACTCTTCAATTTGTAAAAGTGCATGCTGTTTGAAACTTCGCCAAACTGCGAGCACTTTACATGTCATGAGGATGTAAAATGGATATTAAATGGACTGCAGATGATGTCATGCAAATTAAGTCTAGCAGTACCTGCTTCGATTGCCTCTCAAATAAAATATCCTTTTTTTTGTTGTTGTAGTTCACTGTTTCATTAACTGCACTAAATGAATTATCTTAAGTGACTGAGTACGCATGGAAACGTCTACAAGGAGTGGCGCGAAGGTGACGGCTATTAAGCTAGCTACAGCCAATAAAATCTGATGCTACTTTAGAATTGTGGTTGTTATTTCACATCCATTTTAGTGTGAAACAATACAGCCATTAAAGCCCAAATCAGCTTTTTATGCACCACCCCCACCCCAAAAAAGATGAAGTTGGACTTTAAAGGGACACTGTAATAACTTTGGGTCAATTGTATTTTACTTTTTTTACTTTGAACGTTTTTAACTGCTCCTAGGGATAGAACAACAGGAGCTTTTCTCTTAGTGACTGTCTTTTTTTTAAACTGAAACTCCATAGGTCTCTGTATGAGCAGAACAGACATAGAGAGGAAAGAAGTGAGTATAAGTCACTCCTTTGATGTATTGAGCTGTGTATGTAATTTTAACTTCATCTAACCAGTGGTGTATACCACATGTGAAACTGAGCCTTAGGCCTCGTTCACACCAGACACAGAGCGTTCTGGCCCGATTCTGGCATCGCATTGCTCACTATGTTGTGGAGCAGGGGGGCAGGAGGGGGCGTGGTGGTGCTTGTAGCATTTTGTTCTGACCGGACTGGACCGCAGGAATAATGTGCCTTGCGTTACCGTCCTGCTGATCGCATTGCAGCCGGAGGGCGTGGCTACGGAGCCATTCACTTTAATGGACCTCCACGCTCCCTCCTGCCCCACAACTTAGTGAGCTGGTGATCGATCGAAAGTTCGAACTTATCGAGTTCTGGGACCGCATTACTTCCGGTTTCCTTACAACTACGAGGTTTGCACACAAAACTTCTTCTACACGAGCGCCATCCGCGGCATTGCTCTATACACATGCACCACAGCAATAAAGTAATAAAATGAAGTTGGATCACAGTAATCAAGCACGTTATTTATCTCCGGTGCCCCACTGAAGCGGCGGCCATATTGAGTGGGGCACTGGAGATAAATAACGTGCTTGATTACTGTGATCCCACTTCATTTTATTACTTTATTGCTTTGGTGTATGTGTATAGGGCAATGTCGCGGATGGCGCTCGTGCACAACAAATTTCTTGCCCAAAACTCGTAGTTCTAAGGAAACCGGAAGTCATGAGGTCCCACAACTCGATACGTTTTTACTATCGACAGAACACCGGCCGCAATGTGATGCAGTGCATTCTGGCCAGAAAGCGGTGCCTGGTGTGAACGAGGCCTAAAGCTTTTCTATCTGACTGGAAATAGTTCATATGAAATATTGCTATGCATAATGTTTTGTATTTACCTGAATAAAAATGAAACATTTTTTTATATTTTGTGTCAGCCTGAGAATAACAAAGAAATAGAAAATAAACATCTAAATCTAAACATTTCTTTTAGGGTTTTGGTGGGATGAGCCATTTTGTTTGTAGTTACCCTATTCTATAAAAGCAATGGTTTCCATATCTTGCAATGACGACAACTTAAAAGCTTCAGACAGCTTGATGCAAGCTAGATAAATGGCTCTATATTTAGCCTGTGCTATAATGCAGCGGCTCTGGATGCACAGTTGACCATCGAGGAAGTAAAGGAATGGTTTGCATGTCTCCCGCTTAAAGCTGAATTATTATCATTGTTAAAACGAAGATACAATGTATTGTAAACTTGATTTGAACATGATTCCTACATACTACACTTGTGTTTCTATTATCAGGCTTATTAAATAAGGCTGTGTGAAGAGCTACAGTGAGCAATAACCCACAGATATGGCTTCAGATAATGGTTGAAAGCTTTCCTTAAAACAACCCAACTCTAAAGTGTATGTAAATAAGATTTCTGTACTTACTGTCAAATCCTAAAGGACAAAGGGAAGATAGTAATTCTCAGACGTTTGAGCTATACTACTGCCTTTAGGAGGTCATTCATCTGTGGGTAAGGTGTAAATTCACTGGGGTACTCACAGGACACAGGTATAGTGGAAACTGATCCCTGTTACTCCAGGAGGCCTCAAAAGGGGATAGGATGTGAAGAAATTCAAACATCTCAAGGCAAGCAGTTTAGGATAATGGAAAAACATTATTCGCTTTGGAGAATAGTGTGGGATCTCAGAATGTTTTCATTGCAGCCTAGAAAAAAAGACTATTATCACAACTCTACAGCAGGTGGTGAGTCTTCACTTCTCTGAGCTACAGCCTCCAGCAGAACTTCACATGGAGGATGCCTTGTCCCACACTTAGGGTTGTGGTTCCTCCTGCCAGCACCTACATAACTACTGTGCCCTGTAGTGATGCAGAAACTGGCAGATGGAACCACAAGCATGAGGCAGGAGACATCCAACATGCCTAGAAGTATCCAAATCCTGAAGATTCTCTTAGAGTATCTTGCAAATTGAGAAGTGAGATCTCGCAGTCCCCTGGAGAGGTAAGTATTACATAGTAAAAGTCTTCTATTATAGGCTGCTTTTTCTCAGAATTGTTTTTCAAGTGATAGAATTGGTTAAATTCTAATTCTAATAACACATAGTACATTTTTATTCCAGGGATTCATCCAACTGCCTTTAGGAGTTTCTTCCTTACAAAATTTTTGTTACCACATTTAAAAAAGGATTGTCTGCTTTCAGTTGGATCAACTACTCCAAAAACGCAAGGTGTGCTTGTATGAATGATGTTTGAGCTTGATAGGTGCTTGGATTTTTTATTTTTTTTAAACTTTGCTTTATGTAACTACATAATTTCTCCTTTTAAGCACAAGTAGTATTTATGATGGGTTTTGTAGCCACTGCGCTGCACACAGCACTTGTGTGGCCATGTGGGTTTTGGGTGACATGACACAGGTTTTTAATGGTATCCAAATGACGTACATAAATAGTGTAAAGTTATGCAATCAATGACAATTCTGGCTAGTTTACATAATTTTATATTGGCAGACTGTAGACTTGTCAATAACCAAGGCGTAAACACCATCCCTGCCTAGAATTACAGCTTAGACAACATATGTTGTATCTTCCAGTGCAGGAAGGAATTAGGGAGTAACTTGTCAGTGCTCCAGGACTGGGGAATGCAGGGATAAAATCCACAACAATGTTCTAATGTAACTCCTACCAGTCACTTGCATACAAGGTTGGGACACTCAGCATGTATACTGCATAGCAGAGTTGTCTATACTGTATATAAATGGCAACAGCTGCCTGAAAAAAAATCCACTGCTGAGGTTCTACTAATTAACCTTAAAGGAGAACTATGGGGTTAGGTCTTTTCCCCATAGTTCTCCTTAGGGTAACGGGAGAACACAAACTAGCGTCCTCCCGTCACCCTAGGCTCACTATACCGCGAGCTGTAGCTGTACTGAGACGCCGCAGCTGAAGCGGATCCCGGCGTGACGGACAGCTGGCTCTGCCTATCTAAAGGCAGAGCAAGCTGTACCCGCCACCTCCCCCGTCCGTTCCACCAGTCAGCGCTGGCGGATCGGAGCGGGGAGGGGGGAATCCAGCCCCTCCCATGTCACGGCAGAGAGCCGTGACAGGATCGAGAGGTGAGCGAACGCCGGTATGTGTTCGCTCACCTCTCGATCTACTGAGCCGACCTGTGACAGTCTCATTGTCACAGGTCGGCTAGAGCTATTAGGTGAGTGCAAAGCACTCACCTCATAGTTTTCCTTTAATAATAGTGTAGAAATATATTTTGTGTAATGTATTTCTCAAATGAATGTAAGTGGACTGACATTTCCATGGATGCTTACAGGGGGGTTACACTGGTGGGAGGGGAAGAGTTAAAAAATAGCTTCTTTAAAGGACATGTGTATTAAAATAAACCCCCCAAACCCATCCCCCTCTTTATTGTAGGCACCCACCAGAGGTGGGCTGAGCAGCGACAGTAAATGAAGTGGAAGCACTGGTGGGTGCTGAATGTAGAGTGTAGGTGGGTATGGGGTTTTTTATTTTTGTAAAGGTATGCTTTATGCAGTATTCATTCCCATCTCCTGCTCAAAATGGGGAAATCCATTCTCTATAATTAAAAAACAAATCCACACTTGCCATACCATGGACATACACCGATCAGCCATAACATTATGACCAAATATTGTGTAGATCCCCCTTTTGCCACTAAAACAGCCCTGACCTATAGATGCATGGACTCCACAACACCTCTGAAGGTATGCTGTGGTATCTGGCTCCGTGTCAGATGCTTTAAGTCCTGTAAGCTGCGAGGTCTGCGAGGTGGGGCTTCCATGGATCGGACTTGTTTTTCCAGCACAACACACAGATGCAAGATTGGATTGAGATCTGGAGAATCTGGAGACCAAGTCAACACCTCAAACTCCTGACCACGGCAGACCAAGAACATCCCACAAGACCTGCAGTTTTGGAGTTGCTTTGACCCTTTTCAAAGTCACCTAAATCCTTACGCTTGCTCATTTTTTTTTTTTCTTGCTTCCAACACATCAGTTTCAGGTTCAAAGGTGCCATTGATAGTCAATGTTATTCACATCGCCTCTCAGTGGTCATAATGTTATGACTGATCAGTTTTAAAGCTCCTCCCCTGCAGAGCCCAAAATGGGGACAATAGGGAGAGATACAAGTTCCACTCAATTTCAGGCATTTTCTGACTTACCTGGAATCTTCGCATGTCACGAGGGTTCCCAGCATTCTTCAGGCAGTTTTGGTTACACTTAAGGAAGAATTTTAGGAAGAATCTGCAAATGCAAAATAGGAAAATGTGAGAAAACAATTACGTAAAACAATGCAATTAAAATTATATATGTTATATAAAAACACACACATACAATATAGGAATATGACAAAAGGTTAAGCCTTTCCATCCTTTCAAATTCCAACAGTAGATTTTATGTGTGACACAGGAGCATTTATTTAAAAAAAAAAATATTAAAAGCTGAAATCCAGGAGATATAAAACACATAGTAGTAATCTAGTTATCTATTTATCTACCAGCTTAAAAGAGTAAATACATTTATTTTTAAATACAGCATACGTACCAGACTCTAGACATGTGCGATTCGTTTCGTTCCGAATCGAAATTCGGACGAATTTTCGGAAATTCGGACATTCGGATGTATCCGAATTCCAAATTACAGACATAACGAATGCAAACGAATCCGAATTTCCATTTCTGAAATTCGGTAGCGTTCGTACGAACGTTTGTTTCGTTTTCTGTTCTTATTCGTTTCTTATTCGTTTCTTATTCGTTTCGTTCGTTGGAGCAAAGTGACATTAGAGGAGAAAAATATTTTTTCCCCCTCAAATGTCACTTTTGCTGCAAACGAACGAAACCAATAAGAAACGAATAAGAACAGAAAACGAAACGAACATTCGTACGAACGCTACCGCATTTAGTCCGAATCCGAATTCCGAATCCGAATTGACTTTCACACCCGAATCCTGAAAAACGAAATAACACAAATCCGAATTTAAAACGAAACGAAACTAAACGAATTTTTTGGCAGTGCACATGTCTACCAGACTCCCTTTTACGTCCCATAAACTGCTACAAACCAGAACAAAGAGACAAGGGCCAGCAGTATTTCACAATGTTGTCAATCAAATATAAATCTATCTATCTATCTATCTATCTATCTATCTATCTATCTATCTATCTATCTATCTATCTATCTATCTATCTATCTATCTCTCTGTGTCTCTATCTATCTATCTATCTATCTATCTATCTATCTATCTATCTATCTATCTATCTATCTATCTATCTTCTATATCCTATCTATCTATCTATCTATCTATCTATCTATCTATCTATCTATCTATCTATCTATCTATCTTCTATCTATCTCTATCTATCTATCTATCTATCTATCTATCTATCTATCTATCTATCTATCTATCTATCTATCTATCTATCTCTATCTACCTATTTTATAACATCTTGAGATTATAATTTTTCCTGGAGTTCCTTTTAAGACAGGAAACATATACTACGATTGCAACAAAGACATATTTTGAAATAAAACTGGTAAACCCCTAACATGCCAGCTGTTGGGGAACCTTTACACGTGTGTCTGTGTGTGTGCATTAAGATCTGCTGCATCAGGGCAGCCCATTTATCTTGAATGGGATGGCTGTACACCTCAGTGCATGTAAATCTGCACCTGTAGCATTTTCGGCAATGCAGCGTACCATACTGCAACGTATATGCTTTGTGGTGCTTTGTAGTACTGGTGCATTGCCAGGTACAGTACTAAATGAATGGCAATGCAATGCAAATAGTACAGTGTGTTAAAGTTCATGGCAACTGCGCGTTACTGCAACGCAAAAATGTAATGTTGGTTTTAAGAGTCTCAGCATTCACATTTCATATATATTTACTAACTAGGATTTTCAGGGATAGCCATAATATCTTCTGCGAGAAGCTTAAATGGACTTGGTAAGTATATCTTTTAACCAGTAGTATATAGCAAAAAAAAAAAAATGATAGCGATCGAGCATACTTATAATTTATATAGCTTTTTTCATTTTTGCATGCTGTGCTTTATACACTGGAAATACATTAGATGGGTAAAAGGGAAATCTTTTGATGCTTTTATCCATTTTTCTCATAACAGTTTTCCAGCAGAAGTATTTATTAGCACATATCGGTCAGCCTGCTAGATAAATGTATTGTAGCTGTCTCGCAGTAGCAGTAAGCAGTGTGTGTTTAGTGCAAGAGTGTATCATTTCAAGGCTGGTGACAATTGCAGGGTTGTGACACGACAAGTATCATGGTCTCTGCCAAGAATTAGAGGGCTGGGAAGGCCTGGCACTCGCCTCGGGCAAAGAATACCAGTGAGAGGAGAGGTGTCACCCTCCCCAGCCGGATGGCATGGCTGTCAGCGCTCTCTCATTCACAACCAAACGTGCAAAATCCAGACACCAGATACTCAATTTATCCCAGAGTGAGGTGAAGGCTGTTGGCAGGAAACCTTAAACTGTCCTTCTATCTCTGTGACCAGCTCCACGCTGACAAACCTTTCTCTCATCAGCAGAATTACTCTTTTCTATAAACAGTTCTACAGCCCATTGAAATAATAAAAAATATGATTTTTTTTAAATTATTTAGATTATACTGCTGTCTAAGAATAGATGTAGTTTAAAATTGAGGGGACAGTTCTCCTAAAACGAATATTTTAGGTACCGGGAGATGCTGGAGAGATAAAGTAGCATTCAGTTCTTTTATCTCTTTGCAGCTCCAGTGGTGTGGTAACACAACCACATTCTTCTTAACAGACAGGAGCAAATCACTGCATGCAATCTACACATTTTGTGAGAATTACCCATAGACGCAATAAGATCTAAATTCTAATAAAGACCTAATTCTATTAAAATCTAATAAAGAGTCCATTTAATTATTCTTATTGTTACTAAGCCCTGAGGAAGGGGGTTGTTTTCCCCCGTGTTGGCTGTTTGGTCAACACAATCATTAAACTTTTTTATGGACTCTAACATCTGTTTTGGTCCTGCGCTCTTCTATTTTCTGTCCATAAGTTTCTTCCAGCAACCTCATATTGGAGACTGCGCGTGTTTGAGTTCCCTAAGCAAAAGCTAATAAACTACCTATAAAATGAGTTGGGTCTGTCATGAAGCATGGCAAGAAACTCTTCCCAGCGCCTTTGAAATACTCTCATGATCTGAGGAGCAAAAATCGGAGCAGTGCTGTCATTATGGCCACTATCAAGTTATGATTGCCATATATTATAGCAGGTATCTGATCTGATATCAACAATGAAAGCAATGCTCCGAAACACCAAACGAAGCCTGAAACCAAGCAACGGAGCCTCACTCTTCATGCTGAATTCTCTACACACAAAAATTATAAAGTGAAACCATTTGCAATGGCTGAGACCCATGGGCGGAGCTGGGAACACAGCTGCAGAGATTTATATAACTTTGTGGAAACTTTATAAGTTACAGAAAGCCTGTTGTGTAACCAAAAGTGAAATGTTAAGGGATGTCCTTAACTAACCCTGAATTAACTGAATCTTAAATGTAATATTTTTCATTGCATGACAATTAAATCACCAATGGTCCTGCAGTAAAAAAAAAGGTAGAAAAAAAAGTGATACCCCATCTAGCCTAGGTTGAGGTTTTTGCCCTGTCTTCTCCCCTCTGTCAGTGGAGTGGTAGTGCCTGTTCAACTTATGCTCTATATTAAGTATATTTGCATCATGCGCACTGTTCCTGCAGAGTGAGGGGTCAATGCCTCGCTAGAAATGTGACAGGCCCAGTAGTTTATTATCACATTAGCGCAGGGAAGAAGCCACATAATTAACAGAACTTATCTTCATTTACTTGCTGAAAGCTGTAATATTCAATCATGCGCTTCTGCCTAATTGCTTTGTCTGCCTTTAACGGATTTTCACAACACAAGAGAACGGATAAAGCCCGGTTCGCCTTGCGTGCCATCCGCGGTTGTTAGCGATATCTCTGCACATTCAGGCGAGATTTAAGGGCCATGTAATCTACAACACAAACTGCTTTTCTAAATATTTGATAAAAGTATCATGGTTATATATTTAAAAGAATCCCATCTTAAAAATGGATATAGCCTCTATAATTGCTACCCAAGCCATTTTGTCATTTAATGCTATTAAAATTGCTTTTCCATGTTAGTCGCAGCTAGCTGTGAAATTCTACAACTGTCAAAAAAAAATCAAAACCGTCTTCTTTCCAGCCATGTCAACAGTATTCATTTGGTAGGCAGGATTGCTCAGTTTCCTTATTCCTGTGCTCATGTAATTAGCCCTCTACCACTCCCAGAGGACAATTTGCAGATAGCCCTTTGCTTTCAATATGGCATCTGCTGCTTATTATTAAGAAAACTTGCATGTCTGCGCTGATGCTGCTACAAATATAGTATTCATTATGTGATTATAGTAAAGGCAGAACGTCCCATTTGCCCCTCCTAATAGATTGTAAGCTCTCACGAGCAGGGTCCTCCTACCTCCTGTACTGAAATTGTATTGTTAATTGTATTGTCTCCTTCAATTTTGTAAAGAGCTACACAAACTGTTGGCACAATATAAATCTTGTATAATAATAATAGTTTAATACTAATTTTATAGATTATATTGGTAATGCAGTTTCTTAACAAAACTGAAGTTTCAGTTTAAAAACTCTAAAGAGTACATACACCATAAACTGTTGTTTCAGTTATGGATGGATGCAGGAGGGTTAAATCATGTCATTGTTGAGTCTCACTCCTACCTCCTTTTCTTTAACAGGTTAAGTGACCCCATATGGATGTGACAAGCAGACAGCCCTTGCGATTGCAATAGATTCACCATAGGCATAGCGGGTGGCCTTCCATCACACTGGCATCTATCCAAGACTGAAATATCATTTTGGATGGATGGACCTTTTAACAGAACTTTCTATTTCGCTCAATGCAACCAATGGTGCAAATGCAAGCTACTTTAGACTGGGATGACAATAAGCTCTTAAGAGAAATGTTGCTCAACTGGTGGTCAGAGATTCTGTCCAGTGCATGGCATTTCCTTCTTGTGTATAGTTAATTTAAAAGATAATTTGTCTGATGGCTCATAAGTTCACAAACTGACATCCATTGAGTACCCAATGTCCAAATCTAACAGTTCAGGGCCTGCATACTTTTGCCAAACCCAGGCTCCTGGTATAAACTGTGGTGGGAATAGGTGTAAGGGGTTTGTTTGTGGGTTACTTTAGATTGGTG